CACACTGACACAGAGCAGAATAGAGACTGTTCCTCCTACATAAGGTTACTTGGCAGATATGGATTGACTGTTCCCCCTACATACACACTATTGGATCTCGCAAAACTTACCAAGGATCTAAATCATGTTCCCGTATCGTACATGAAAAACCTACTCATACAAAATCTCTTCCCAAATGTCATTTCGTTCAAAGTGGAGAGAATGTTAAAAAAAAAAAATATTTTTGTTCTGAGTGTGAGAAATGCTTTTCAGCCGCTTTTAATCTTAAGCATCATTTGAGGAGCCATACAGGAGAGAAACCTTATTTTTGTTCTGATTGTGGGAAATATTTCTCTCAAAGAGGCCACTTTTATATTCAATCTATAACAGTGAAAAAAGTTTTTTTGGTTTTAAATGCAAGCTATTGTGACACCAGTGAGTGAGTGGTTGCACTGGGCACAGTATCCACTGTGAGCCTGACACACCCGCTTTGAGACAACTAACTGCTATTCAATCTATAACAGTGAAAAAAGTTTTTTGGTTTTAAATGCATGCTATTGTGACACCAGATATGAGTGGCAAAGTACACTGGCAGAGGTCTGCAGAGCACACGCTGAAGGCCTGACACCCGCTTTAAGGACACTGACTGCTATTAGCTTACACTGAAAAACTTTTTTACTTTGTAAAAGCACGCTATAGAGACACCAGATATGAGTGGCAAAGTACACGGGCAAAGGTCTGCAGAGCACACGCTGAAGGAGGCCTGACACCCAGACGCTTGCAGACAACTAACTGCTATTCAATCTATTACAGTGAAAAAAAGTTTCCAGATATGAGTGGTGGCACTGGGCACAGTATCCACTGTGAGCCTGACACACCCGCTTTGAGAAAACTAACTGCTATTCAATCTATAACAGTGAAAAAAGGTTTTTGTTTTTAAATCCAAGCTATTGTGACACCAGTGAGTGGTGGCACTGACTGGGCAAATGGGCACAGTATCCACTGCGAGCCTGACACAGAAGCTGGCAGCAGTGGCAGACAACTAACTGCAATTACATTACACACACACAAAAAAAAGCAGACTGATGTTCTAGCCCTAAAAAGCAGAGATCAGATGAGTCCTTCAGGACTGTAGTGGACACTGTATACCCTAACCTAGCTATGCATTTCCCTATCTAATCAACAGCAGCTACACTTTCCCTCCTCTCACTAAGCATGCAGCTTGAGAATGAATCTAAAATGGATGCCTGTCCAGTAGGTGGGAGGGTCTGCTAGGGAGGGTGTGCTGCTAATTGGCTGGAATGTGTCTGCTGACTGTGAGGTACAGGGTCAAAGTTTACTCAATGATGACGAATAGGGGGCGGATCGAACCGCGCATGTGTTCGTCGTCCGCGGCGGACGCGAACACGCTATGTTCACCGGCGAACCGTTCGGTGCATCACTAATAGGGATAGCTTAGGAAAGAATTCTGCAAACTAGTACATTATTGGGTTGGGGTGCACTTCATATCTGAGAGTCAAATAGAAGCTTCAAATACCGCAGTTACATCTGAGTTTTAAAATGTAATTTTTATTTTGTTGCTAAATAGTACATTAGTGGGGTAGTACATTAGTGGGGTGCACTTCATATCTGAGAGTCAAATAGAAGAGTCAAATACTGCTGTCACATTGCAGTTTTAAAACTTAAAATGCTTTGGGTGCTAAAAAGTACATTAGTGGGGTGCACTTCATATGTGAGGGCTAAATAGAAGCGTCTAATAGTGTGCTTACGGCGCAGTGGTAAACATTCTAATTGTTTTGCTGCTAAACTCCTAAATAGTACATTTTGGGGTGTGCACTTCATATCTTAGAGTCAAACAGAAGCATCTAATACTGCGGTTAAAGCGCAATTGTAAACATTCTAATTGTTTTGCTGCTAAACTGCTAAATAGTACATTTTGGGGCATGTTCTTCATACGTGCGAGTCAAATTGAAGCGTCTAATAGTGTGCTTTCTGCGCACTTGTAAACATTGTAATCATTTTGCTGCTAATCTGCTGCTTACATTGGAGTTTTAAAAAGTCCTTTTTTGGGGGGCGCTAAATAGTATATTTGGGGTGTTCACTTCATATCTGAGAGTCAAATTGAAGCGTAACTTTGATTCGAATTTACTTCATCAGTCACTTGTAATATTGTTTCATCTATAACACTTGTTACACAGATCTAAGTGATAGAAAACAGATTGATATTTTCTACACTAGAAACTACCAGATAACAAGCTTCTATATTTAAACCAGCTAAGAGTTACTTCAACAATATTGTAATTCTGGGGCAATACCCTCACAAGTCAAACTGAGAGGTCCGTTTATAGGGAAAACTGTTGCCTGGAGGAAATTCTAAAACAATTTCCATATGTCCTTTGCAGACTTTACATGCTGGAAAAACACAGGTGCCAACTGCTGTGGCTTTCTGCAGTGTGCATACCGGCAAGGAGGGCAGGGTTGAGGAGTGGGCGGAAGATGATGTGGAGGATGATGAGGTCCTAGACCCCACATGGAATCAAGGTCATGCGAGTGACGTGTGCAGTTTGGAGGAAGAGGCGCTGGTCGCACAGAGGCACCAGCACAGCATGAGGGAGCAGGGTGCAAAAGCGGAGCGGCCGTCCCCTAGCGCTCGTCGGCATGTATTCGCTTGAGAATTACCAGTTATCCAAGTAATACATGTAGCGATTAGTGATGTACCGAACGGTTCGCCGGCGAACGGTTCCTGGCGAACATAGCATGTTCGCGTTCGCCACGGCGGGCGAACATATGCGCGGTTCGACCCGCCCCCTATTCGTCATCATTGAGTAAACTTTGACCCTGTACCTCACAGTCAGCAGACACATTCCAGCCAATTAGCAGCACAGCCTCCCTAGCAGACCCTCCCACCTACTGGACAGCATCCATTTTAGATTCATTCTCAAGCTGCATGCTTAGTAAGAGGAGGGAAAGTGTAGCTGCTGTTCATAGATAGGGAAAAGCATAGCTAGGTTAGGGATAAGGGTATGCTTTTTTTTGATTTTTTTTCTATGTAATGTAATTGCACTTAGTTGTCTGCCACTGCTGCCAGCTTCTGTGTCAGGCTCACAGTGCATACTGTGCCCATTTCCCAAGTCAGTGCCACCACTTAGATCTGGTGACACAAAGCTTGGATTTAAAAACAAAAAACTTTTTTC